CGTCGGGCTCCCTGCTCGGCAGGAAGCCTGCTTCTCCCTCTCCCACTCCCCCTGCTTGTGTTCCTGCTCTTGCTATCTCTCTCTCTCTGTCAAATAAATAAGTAAAATCTTAAAAAAAAAAAAAAAAGGAAGCAGGTTAAGTGAGAAACTAAGGATGTAGGCCTAATAATGATCAGCTTTGACTGAAGCCCTCAAAGAGAAGGAGTCTGCCCAGCTTGATTAAATCTGTTTATTTTATATTCCCTAATATGATGCTGAACAGCAGTGCCTTGTGTAGCTCTCTAATTCTATACAATATATGGATATCTGCGTGGATAAATATGTGCTCTCAAGTTTTCAGGAGGAATTCACTGAAACTTAGAATTAGGTACCTGATAATTACATAAATGATGACAGAAAAGTATTTTCAATTTTCAATGCACAAACTTTACGTGCTCTTGAATTCTTTCCTCCTAAATGTCATCATAGCAAATTATAAATCATATTTCAAAGTTGAAGTTTAAAAACTTTATTCAGGGTTACTAATCACAAAGTAATTAACATATAGAAAGATAAGAAGAAATTAGAGTTTGTGTGTTAAATTGTGGCCTTGAATTTATACTGTATGAAGAATAAAGAATGTGCTTATCATTTTCATTGAATTCAAACATTTATTAAGTATCAAAGCTGTGCAGACCCCTGTGGTAGGTGCTATGAGAGAATCGAAGGTAAAGCACATGGTCTCCACCCTGTGGTAGAAGGGGCTCACAATCACAGAGGAAACAGACTTGCTTACATATCTGCTCCTACAACACCCCTATGAGGTGTCATCATCATGTAAAAAGAGAATTTGAGGCTCAGATAGCTAATGGAAATCCTCCATTTCCCACTTAGGAAATGCCTCTTCTGTCCAAGTACAATAGGACTGATTCTGCTCTAAAGGGATTCCAGATAAGAAAGTAAAGAATAAAAGAAACCATCCTCCAACAAAATGGAAAAGGAACAGGAAATCTGAAAAGTACCAAAGCCTAATTTCAGGGAAGCTATAACTAAAGAGAAAACTAAGCAAAACAAAATTATCAAGATTTTTACCAGCAGATTAGGTGATAAAATCTAGGCAGAAAATCCTATTTCAACTAAACATGCACTGAATTAAAAGGCCACTCTAGGAAAAGAGGAAGCCCCCGGGTAGCTGAGTGCATCTGAGGGTCCCTGGGCCAGGTGCACACTACTCACCCTGTACTCCCCTAGAGCAAAGTGGCAGGTTGCCAGCTGGATGAGCGCCCTCTGATGCTCCAGCGTCCCCTGTCCTGTGATCTGTGGCTGAGGAAGCGACCCCTGGAGAGCTGCTAGATGATGCAGGCTGGCTATTGCTTTTTTATATTGGCCCTAAGAAAGACATAACAGCAAGGAGGTGAAAAACACTGCCGTTAAAAAAAAAAATCTCCAGAGTTGGGGTGCCACAGTCGATTAAGCACCTGACTCTTGGTTTTGGCTCAGGTTGTGATCTCAGGGTTGTGAGATCAAGCTCCGAGTCGGGCTTCGTGTTCAGTGTGGAGTCTGCTTAAGACTCTCTCCCTCTGCCTCTGCCCCTCCCCCATGCTCTCTCTCAAATAAATAAATAAATAAATAAATAAAAATCGCCAGAGTTAATTAAGCAACTACAAATAAAGTAGCTCTGTTTGATCATCTGAGGAGGAAAAAGGAGACTTAGCAATAATCAAACCAACTTATTTAAAGCTAGGTGGAGGGTTCTCTATAGAGGTACTTCATATGTACAAAGATTTTTCTTTCTGGTCTTAATTCTTTTTTTTTAAAGTTTATTTATTTATTTATTTTTAATTATCTCTACACCCAACATGGGGATTGAACTCACGACCCCGAGATGAAGAGTCGCATGCTCTACTGATTAAGCCAGCCAGGCACCCTGGGTCTTAAGTCTTAAGACTAAATAAAATAACACAAGCTTTGGATAAAACACATTTTGGATATACCATTTCTTATAAATATTTTACTACTCATACCATTTCTCCTTTATGTAGGATGGAAGCAGCAACCTGTCTGTTTCGACAACAGAGGTTGGAAGCTCTGCATCCTCTTAGGGAATTATTAGCTCTCTCCATTCCAGGCATAAGTAGCTCAAGAACAGTGGGGCAGGGCAGAAGGACTCCATCAGAGTAGAGAGAAGGAGGGGCGAGAAGTTGTCATCTTTTATTGAAAAGTAAAAATCTTACTTTCACAGAGGGGTGTGGCTGGACATATTAAAAGTAACACAGAAGAGGTGGCCTTGTCATTTTGGGTTTTTTTTGAGATGAAAGTGGACCATAATCCTTCTGCCACTGAAGACAGAACATGTCTTCAGAGCATTACTAGTCTACAGAAGGAACATACACATCCTGCATGCTATAGTCGGTTCACAGTAATAATCATCTTATACAGAGTAACTTAAAATATACATCACTCTACCTGATAGATGATCATATCAGTGAGGAAGATTCTTAACCAAAGCCAAGTATCTGTCTTCCACGCCAAACAAATTCTTGTAAATTCTGAGAATTCAAAAGCAAATTTACCAAAAACATGTTAACATAGAAGCAGAAAACAAAACAAACCCAGCAAAACAACAGAGACAAACTTCCAAAAAATGGGTAACTATCGACTTTGATTTCTAAAACAATGGTCTAGAATTTTAATTAGATAGTAAAGTTAGAATATCATACTTATCAGTAATCCACAAGCAGTATTTTTATTAGGCCCCAACATATACTAAGCACACACCATGTCCTGAGAGCTGTTCAACCTCATTTATCTTGTAAATTATTTTGCTCTCCTCAGAAAAAGATATTGTTTTATTTTCACCCAGCTCAGAAAACAAAGATACAAGGTAAGAGTTTTACTCATTATTTATTTATTTTAAATATATTTTTTAAGATTTTATTTATTTATTTGACAGACAGAGAAACAGTGAAAGAGGGAACACAAGCAAGGGGCGTGAGAGAGGGAGAAGCAGGCTCCTTGCCGAGCAGGGAGCCCGATGCAGGGCTTGATCCCAGGACCCTGGGACCATGACCTGAGCCGAACGCAGACGCTTAATGACTGAGCCACTCAGGCACCCTTTTACTCATTTTTTAAAAAGTCAAGTTATAACTAAAGGAAAACTCCCCCTTACCCCCAAAGGTCACATACATGTTTACAATTCTAGATGTGACCGGGAGAGATGGAATGATGCTCTATCTACCTAGAAAAAAATGACATGACACTTCTGACCAAGGGTTCTGTACAGGCACGTGACAGAAGCAGGCCCAAGGATGAAGGTCCACTGGCCAGAAGGAAAATAAAAATACACTGTTGATTCCAAAGCAGAGTAAAAATCCATGGCTTAGCAACGCGCTAGTAATTTCTAAGTAATGTTGAAATACTTAATAGTTGTAAAACTCCCTGTAGATTTAGGTCTGTTCTCAAAGGAAAACAGGCTTTCTGTAGGGTGAGTTTTTCAGGCAATAGAGTTAATGCAGATAAAAATAGCATTACCTTTTGTATGCTTAGCTACACGTGACCTAAGGAAGATACAAGGCAGACAGAACAACTAAAAATACAAAACAAACCCAGCAAGAAAAAGAAAGGAGGCCAGAAATACAAATGTTAAAAGATCAAAAACTCTCCCTCAAACTCCACCCCGACTCTAATTATAATAAACACTCAGAGTAGAAGCTAAGATGTAAATGATCATTTGAATTTTTTTTTGATCATTTGGATATTAATCACTGATTAATGTCCTGCTCAAGAAAGATCCTATAAACTGTGTGAACTACTGTAAGCAATTTAGCTCTAAGTGTCTTGCTGTTCCAAGCAGAATGCTTTTTTAAGCACACTGATTTTACGTAACACATTAAACAGCACTAATACGACAAGCATGTTCTTACCCTTGTCAAGGAATTCCAGGGAGTAGAGCAACTCCCAGCTCTCCCTGGCTAGCTTAAAGCTCTCAAGTACTTCAATGGAGTTAGCAAGCTCTGCTTTATTGACTACGATGTGACGATTCCTTCCTTTTGCTGAACAGTCTTCGTCGTCTGAACTCTGCTTAGAGAAGGTGAAGAAGGTAATTAACTTAGTCATATACAGGTGACCCGTCAACAACACAGGTTTGAACTACACAGAGCCGTTGACATATGGATTTTTTACAGTCCAGCACTGTAAATGTACTTCTCTTCCTTATGATTGTCTTAATAACTTTTCCTTTTCTCCAGCTTACTGTGTTGCGAGAATACAGTATATAATACATAGAACGTGCCAAATATAGGGTAATCAACTATTTACGTTATCAGTAAGGCTTCTGGTCAACAGTAGGCTATTGGTAGTTAAGTTTTGGGGGAGTCAAAAGTTATACACAGATTTATGACTGTGCAGGGTGGGGTAGGTTGGTGCCCCTACCTCCATGTTGTTCAAGGGTCAACTGTACTTGGAGGTTGTTATGTTTATTACCTCCAATTCTGATTACTGTATGGATTTTATATCAAAGGATACTACCATGAGGATAGTTTCACTCTCACACATTCAATTTTTACCTTAAAAACTAAGCTTATGTTTTTCTGATGATAAATTCTAAGCTTATGTTGGCTTCTAAGTAAAGCCATGGAGTTAAAACTTCCAATAGTTTAAAAACGTATCAATGTTATAAAAGCCCCCAATTAGATTCTTACAGATACAGCTTACATGGCATATGTTTTATCGTTCATTTTTTTTTAGTATGTGAAATAATTTAATTTGCTTCCAAATAAGTTTATCATGTAGAGGAATTAAAATTAAAGCCCAAATGCCCTAAGAATCAGAGAAATGACTCTTCCTAATCTTTTGTTCCCTATATATAACTTCTCCCACTCCAACCCTCTCTAGCTCTGCTCCCCCAATGCAAGGTGTCGGCCAGGAATTACATTTGCCTGCACTTATCTATTAAGGCCTTCTGTAGTTTATAATAAAGAACCCTACACTTTTCTTGCTCTTCATCTCAAGAAATATAAAGCCAAAGAGAGGTCTCAGAGAACTGCAACTATTTAAGTGCCAGTGAGCATGGTCAGACATTTTGCCAAAAAATAGTAAAGGTAAAACAGCTCCACTTAATTTTATTTTGCTGAGAATTTCTTGACTCTTATTATCCCTACGTTACTTTACTAACTTAATGACCCAAATTAAATTCTCCCTACAGATTTTCACACCACTATGCTGATTCAAAAATATGTACAAATATTTCAGCTGAAAGCTCCATTCCTCAAGCTGATCTCAGAAAAAATAAGCACCTCCCTCCCACTACCCACCTTTCTCCCCCCACTTTCACAGCCTGGTATTCTCCTGCCAGTCCTTGATGCTTGGGGGACCCCCCCGCCCCGCTCACTCTATTTAGCTACCATATTCTTATCCTCCCCCAATAATGACACATACCCAGATCCCTTTCACAATCAAAACCTGTTAGGTATCCTACTTCATCAGGGTCCAGTTCCTTGCCACGTGTTGCCAATCTAATAGGATATACTAACATGAGTGGGGTATTCACTGTTGCAATTTTATAGAAAACATTCCTGCCTCAAAACAGGATTGGGAGTTTATGGAAGGGACCTCAGGTGTGGTGAGAGTAGTTTCCAAATAGTTTCTATAATTCAGAGAAATTGATTTTGAAATGCAAAAGTACACTCTGAAGTTCTGGGCGGATGCTGTAAGTGAGAACCCTGACTATAGCATGTGTGGGTGGAGAACAGGTTGCCCACAGGAGAGGACAGTCCCCCAGCTCCAGCCACTGGCATGTCACGTGAGCCAGGGAATCAGGCTGCGTGGAGAACGTACGCCTGTCTGAAATGGGCAGCCTCCATCTGGCCCCAGCTGTGGGCCAGCATCAGGGGCCAGTGTATCAGATATTCCAATTCTTAAAGAAGTCAGACATCTCGATTGTTGTGAGAAATCTCCCAATTTTTAGATGTTCGGTTATTAAAAGAAGCAAAACACAATGAGTAAAACAAGATGAATCTATAAGCTGAGCTTTATGTCCTCTGCTGTGAGGGCTCAAACAGACATGGCTGGACTCACGGCAGGTCGGGGGCAGACTGTGGGATAGAATGAAAACCAGGAAAAATCAGTTAATGGAGTAAAAACAAAAACAGATGGAAACCCAGGTTGGTTGGAGGGCCAGAGTATGAGAGCAGGGCCTGCTAGATGACACATGAGAGGTGAGAAACAGGAGGAACCAGAGAGCCAGAGGGTTTAAACAGCTATGCCATGGCCCGGACGACAAGGCTGAGGGAAGAGTGGGGGTTCACTCATTCACCAGCTGTGGCTCAGGCACTGTCCAGATGTCCAGGGTACAAGACGGACAATGTCCTTGGCCCCACAGAGCTTGTACAGAACTAAGAGGGAGACACAGACATGGCTGGACTCGCAAATGAAGAAACAAGAAAATAGCAATAGGGGCTATACAGAATTAAAGTAGACTAATAGAGAAAACTGGATGGGTATTTCGAGGAGGCCTCAGAGGGAGAAATGTCCACGCTGAGAGCTGTGACAAGGACACAGCCTGGCAGAGAGACGTACTCCAACCTCAGGGCACAGCTCGGGGGTAGAGATCCAGGGGCAGAAAGGGGCTCAGAGCGCGGGAGGTGCAGAGAGGCCAGTGTGTCTGGGGCACGCAAAGGCTTGCTCAGTAATGGCTTTGAAGCCAATGTGAAGAGCATGACGGGAAGACACTGGAGGTAGTAAAGCAGGGGAGTAATGTCTGATTCAGGTCTTAAAAACCTCACTAAAGCTGCTGGGTAGAGAAGAGACGGTAGGGAGCAAGGGTGCAAGCAGGGAGACAAGAGGACATCCCTGATGACGTATGAAAGACTGGGATGGCTTGGACAGGGAGCACGTGGTGGGGACGGAGAGAAACAGACGGATGGAGCCACGTTATTTATACTGATTTGTATGGGACATGTCACTGCTTTGAGTTAAAACTAGTATTGGATGACCTATTATCCACACAGCAAGAAGGGTGTCTATGGTCTTAATGTGAAGTACCTGGATAAACCACACACTCACGGAAACCAGAAGGGAGAGCTAATGAGTGACCCCACCTGGGAATGTCAGGAGAGAAGGAGGAGCTACCCAGCAGCCTTAGTGATCTTTTTAAAACATGAATCAGAGAGCACCTGGGAAAGCCTGGTTAGCAGAGTTCTCAACCTGGGATTCATGCCTGGATTTCAAAGCATCTTTCAACCTTGGAAATTATTTGTGAAATCGTGCATGTGTGCATTTTTCTGTGGGAGGAAACAAAGGAGTTTATCAGAAGGTTTAATAACCTCACAAGCCTTCAGAAAGTCTTCGTCTTCCCTGCTCCATTCTATATTATACAGTACAATTTACAAGGACATCAGATTGAACTGATTTTAAGGCACATCTCTCCTCACGCCCACGTCTAGTGAATGTAACTCAGGGGCTGAAGAAGCGGTAAGGGGACTGACAGGAGAGGAGAGGGGACAGAAAGTGGGTGAGACTCTTGGCTCCCCTGTGGTATTTCACCTGGAGCAGGGGTTAGCCAACTATGACCTGCAGACCAAATCCTGTTTTTGTAAATAAAGTTTTACTGGAACACGGCCACCTCATTTGTTTACTATTGTCTATGGCTATTTTTTGTACTGTAACAGCAGAGCTGAGTAGCTGCAACAGAGACTGTTGGGCCTGTAAAGCCTACACTATTTCCTGGCCCTTCACAGAAAAAGTTTGCTGATTCCTGACCTAGAGCACCCTCACTGTCATATTGTTACAGGCTGGGCCTCCACGAAAGCTATCACTGAAAGGAATCCTCTGCTTTAAAATAAGTTTAGAAATAACTTGTTCTGCCCAGGCCTGCTGCTTGGTCCCATCAGAAGACCAATGGTTCTTCATGTTCTCTGGCCTTCCACATCTTTGTGCAAACTGTCTTTTCTTCACAAAATCCACCCTCCAATTCCAAATGACAAAACTGCTACATCCTTCAAGGCTGATTTCAAATGCTGACCTCCTCCATGAAACCTTTCCAACATCTCCCCTTGGCTTGTAATGACTTCCTAGCCAGAACACCTCGGCCCTTTCCATTCTGAGGCCAGGGCTCAGCACAGCACCCTGCCTAGATGTTCAATGTAGTTCACCTGGCTCTGCTTTTCACCTTTAATTGAAGCCATTCAGTCACGACAGGTAGAACTAACTTATACCAGGCTTTCTCAACATCGGCGTTTTGAGCTGGACAACTCTTTGTTGTGGGGCTGTCCCATGCATTGTAGTACTGTTCACAGCACCCTGGCCTCTACATGGGAGACAGTCACAGCAACTCCTCCCCACCAAGCCGTGGAAATCAAAAAGTGTCCTTAGACACTGCCAAATGTCCCTGGGGGGCAAAATCACCTCCAGTTGAGAACTGCTCATTTACATTAATTATAATTAAAAGACCTAAGCTTTATCAATGTAGCTCCAAAGCTGTATTTTACATTCATTTCCAGCAAACCACAAACACATAATCTGTTAATAATCATATCTGAAAGGATTACCATGGTTTTTTCTCTTCCCTCAGCTAGTTTCCTCTTTTTATGTATATGTTTGTTACGATCAATTTCTATATCACCATACACATTTGATACATCCTCAAGAAGAACCAGTGGAACTTGGCTTGGGGCATTAGGACCTATGGATGGGGGAAAACACCAACACTTAAAAATGAGGCAAGGAAAATAAAACTTAATATCAGGTGGAAGTTTACTCAGCTGTCATTTGAAAATACAGGTCATTAAAAAGTATGTTCAGTGTGATCCCAGTTAGGCAGACAAACAAGTATACATGAATAGGAAAAAAGACTGTACAGATATACACGAGATTATTAATAAAGGTTCTTTCTCAATGACAGATTACAAGTGAAAGTTCCTTCTCTATATTTGTTCTTATGTAACTACAAATTTTTCATAGTGATCATGAATCATATTAGCCAAAAACTCAAGACTATGAAGTTATATGTATAATATCTTACAGCTATAAATTCCAAACAAAATCTAAATATATGAAAGACTATAAGGTAATACACAAAAATGAGAGCTGTATTGTATTGGATGGGTAGGTGATTTCATTCTTTTACCTTTCTATTTTTCACATTTTTTACAATTTATATGCAAAAATGTTATTTAAAAAAAATCTTTGTTTAATGCAAAGCCTTTGTGAAATCTACTTCAGTACTTTGCTACATCTGCTTTTTCAAAATAGAAGCATTAAATATCTGTATTTAGTTTCACAGTACCACTACATCCTTTAAAATATAAATTTAATTAATTAATTAATCAAGTGGGCTCCATGCCCAGCGTGGAGCCCAAATGCATGGCTTGATCTCACAACCATGAGATTAAGACCTGAGCGCAGATCAACAGTTTGACACTTGACCAACTGAGCCACCCAGGCACCCCGACATAGAAATTTTAAATGAAAACATACTTACATAAAAACTACCAACAACTTAAAAAAAGCACTGGTGTCACCCCACAATGATTTGGATCCAAGAACAATGTTAAGGTAAACATTTTATTTTGGGAGACTCTAGAATTCTTTAACCAACCTTGGAATAGAGATGGTTGTATGCTGTTGACATACTGGAATGCATTCTTAAAGAAGACCAACATAGTTGAATAAACCACTTGGTTTTTATATTTTGCATGAGCTTCATTATCAAAGTTGTTCATGTATCTGCAGAGATCCTTCATTCTATGCAAAATATCACCATAGCTTCTGAAAGATGAAGGATGATAAAAAGTATTTAATTATTCGGCTTATCAGCAAAAGGTCTAGAGAAAAGCCCCAAAAGAAGCGTGACCTTTACCAAATGTAGCTGGAGGCATGGGTAATTCCCCTTCTGAATTACAGCAGTGATCAGACCACTATTTCAGGACAGAGACATGACAAAGTAGCTACTCTTTCCTCTGAATGACAAAGAGTGCTTCAAGCTCAACAGCATCTTACAAGTTCATACTTCCATTGGGAATCTTTTAATAAAGTGAAAAACCACCCTCTTTTGCATAAATACCAAGGTTATAGAAGTTGACCAAAGAAAAGTATATCTATACATTATATGCTTCTTAAGAAAGTGTTTTTGTTTTTAAAAATCCTGAGATTACAGTATCAGGAGGCTTGCTAAGCAATTCTAGAAATGAACAATTTTTTACCGTCTTCCTTTATCCATCTGCCATTCACATCTCATTCCAACAACATTTAAAATCTTAAACAACCTCTCCCAAGGGTCCACAATCTGGGATGATTTTTCAGTCAGCCCTTCTATTATGTACTTCTGAGAGCTCCGTTTGCTAGGTGACATTAAATCAGATGCTTCTTGGGCACCTGGGAAATGAGAAAAAAGAATCCTATAATTAATCTTACTATTTACTATGTATATAGTACTTGACAGAGAAAGACAAAGTCTGAATCCCTATTCAAAAGGCAAGAGCAGAGGGGCGCCTGGGTGGCTCAGTCGTTAAGCGTCTGCCTTTGGCTCAGGTCATGATCCCAGAGTCCTGGAATCGAGCCCCTCATCGGGCTCCCTGCTCAGCAGTGAGTCTGCTTCTCCCTTTTCCTCTGCCCCTCTGCCTGCTTGTGCTCTCTCTCTCTCTCAAATAAATAAATAAAAATATATTTTAGG